TTGTTGTTGTTGTTTTTCCATATAAGTTTGAGTGGACTTCTTTTTTCCAGTCTATTTAGTGTTCTGTAAGCTTCTTGTAGCTTCATAGGCATGCCCTTCTTTAGGTTGGATATGTTTTCTTCTATGACTTTGTTGAATATGTTTTCTGCACCTTTGAGTTGGAATTCTCCCTCTTGTTTCCCTGTTACTCTGAGGCTTAGGTCTTCTCATGGTGTCCTAGATTTCCTGGATGTCTTGTGTTATGAATCTTTTCTATTAAACATTTTCTTTATTTGGTGAATCCATTTCCTCTATCATTTCTTCAACACCTGAGATCCTCACTCCCATCTCTTTTACTCCGTTGATGATTTTTTTTATCTATAGTTCCTGTTTGCTTACTCAGATTCTTGATTTTCTGACTATCTTTGGTTTGTGTTTTCTTTATTGCTTCTGTTTCAATTTTTAAGTCTGGAACTTTTCCTTCAAGTAATTTTTTTGCTTTCGACTTGACCTTCTTCAAGTTATTTATTGATTTCTTCTAATGTTTTGGTTTGTCTTTTCCTCAATTTATGCAGTTTGTATGTAAAATAAAATACATTTTATAAATAAAAACAATTATACACAAGGCATTTTTAGAGAATTGCAGAAGATAGAAGTCTGGCTTGTAAAGTTTCAGAGGAAAATTTAAAGACTTTATTGTGGACATTATTTGTTTTTGAATTAAGATCCTGTGGTTGTGGTTAGATGGGTCTGAATAATCAGCTGTGGTTAGCAAAATACCATATCTATTAAAGTAATTTGTGGTTCTGCTTAGTCTTGGCTGAGGAATCAGCCATGATTAACAAGATAACAGAACTACAGCAGTGAACCTAATGTTGCTTGGATAATTGATGCCTGTCAGCTGGAGCTAAGACATTAGCAGTGATAAGAAGGGAACTGCATCACTGAGGTGAAATCTTCTGGGAAGTGTTTTCTCTTTTTAAATTTTTTATTTTAATTAGAAAGATTATTCCACATGTCATTTCCAGGTCCCTCTACCTCCACTCCTCCTCTGGGCCTCAAATAACACCTCGCCTATCCCATACCCTTTCTGCTCCCCAGGGATGGCAAGGCCCTCCGTAGGTGGTCCTCAGAGTCTCCCACATACTCCCAGACAGGGCCCAGGTCAGGCACAGGCCCAGGCCCATGCCCCTATGTCCAGCTCAGTGTGCATCCCTCCATGTGGGGTGGGCTCCCAAAGTCCATCTGGGAAGTGTTTTCTAGGAGCACAAAGTAGCTGTGTTCCAGAGGTGGCCAAGGTTGCACCTTCTGCCAGCAGGCAGACTTGGCAAAGTGTAATTGTCACCCCAGGTGTTGCTGGTTTTGCAGGCATGAATGGTCATGTAGAGCAACTGAGGCGTGGAACTCTGAGAGTCCAGGAGAAGCCATTGGTGAAGGTGCAGCCTCAGTGGTAGTTGAAAGTCCAGGACTAAATGGCTCATGCAAAGAAGTTGAGGCTTGGCACCCGAGGAGAGCCTATGAGAGCATGTTGGTCAAATTGCAGCCCAATTGCATCAGAAGATGCTAGTGATTTGGAATTGTCAAAACCATGGCATGACTACCAAGAACAACAGCAGCAGCGGAGTGGAGCCAGTCAGAGCCTAGGAAATGAGCTGTGTGCACTGCAGTGGTCAGGGCTGGGGAAGTGATCCCAGCCTTTGAAGGAGTCCAGAAGATCATGAATGAATCCCAGATATTGGAGGGTTGTAATTTTTTTGCTTTAATTTGATCTTTACTCTGCCAATGTTCTCCCCCTTGAGTTATTTTACTGGAGATTTATTTACAGTTGTGAGTTTTTGAATTTTAAAAGACTTTGGATTTTAGGAAATTAGTTACTCTAAAGGAGCTGAAATTTTGAAGGGTTTACATTTATAAGTACTGTGGAACTTTTAAAGTTATATGTGACCTGGGAGATTATTTCTAAAGGAAAAAAATGTGACACAATTAGAGTCATCAGAGGAAAGATCCTCAGTTGTGGAAATGTCTTGATGAGATCTAGCTGTAAGGCATTTCTTAATTATTGATCAATGGAGGAGGTCACTCTGGTGGGTTTGCCATCCATGATCCTGGGTCCTATAAGAAGGTAGGCAGACTACAGACTTTGGTGAATCCCCAAGAGAGACCTTATCATCTCTGAGGACTGGATTTGGGGAAGGATGGGGGAATTTGGCAGGCTGGCCTAGGGAATGGAGGGGGAACTGGGTTTGAAATGTAAAATGAAAAAAATTAATGAAATAAAAAAGCTTATATCAAAACAAATAGAACAAAAAGAAGGTGGGCTGAGCAAGGCAGGGAAAGAATCTGAGTAAACCCATCCCCTCCAGGGGCTGTGAATCTGCTCCTGTCTCCAGTGGTCGTCCCTGTTTGAGTTTCTGTTCTCACTTCATTCACTGCTGAAGAGCATTGCTGAAGTGAAAGGCAAACAAATCCTTACTTTCCAAAACCTGCCTTTTGGTCATGGTATTTAATCTCAGCAATAGCAATCTGACACCCAGTTAGTCTCCTTTGGGTTAATCCAGGAAAATTGAATGATCAGGTGCTCAGTGTATCCATTCTGCTCTGTGTGCTCCCAACAGGATCAACCT